ATAATAAAAACATTTTGATTTCTAGATGGAGTTTCCTGCTAGTAATTTTCAGGCAGTTTTGTAGCAACAAAACACCAAGGTCTCGAGGAAATTCTCATATGACATGTATGATATCTGTTTTTTTACCATAGTAGAACTGAGATGAACACATCTCCATATAATGTAAATGTTTAGTTTTTTATTTATTTTCAAAACCCACACAAGACCTTTTCCCAGGATGGAAATCCAGCTAAGAAGAAACTCTAACATGCACATATAACACTCAATGTTTAGCAATGATCGCCAAGTATTCAGTTAATTAATAGGGGTAGGCAGAGTGATATAATAACCAATAATTAATACACAATATTGTAATAATTTATAAATAAACTCCTTTCTGTAAGCAACACTTACTTCAGTGCCATTGCTGTGGCTAGGTGGCAGCACCTGTACAGTGGTGAGAGCTTGTGACGTCTGCTGCTGGTTAGCGAGGGCTTTTTGCTCTCTGTACGTCTGCTATGGACGACAAACATCCTGTAAGACTTACGTCTTCGGCACAGATGGGTAGATATACGTGTAGTGTATTAGTATCAAATGGAGCAAGCATTCCAGTACGGTAGAGCATCATGGCACGTAAACGAATGGTCTACCGAGTTCAGTTCCGCAAACACTAGATGCTAATTTAATTTATAGCAATCTAATTTAATCCGATGATGTGAGCACACAAGACAAGCAATCAACACGGACGGAAAGTCGTAAAAATGTCGACCCAACGCAACGATTCACCAATGACGTCATTATTACGTTATACAATGTTCATATAATGTCCCACATAGAAGTTCATATGATGACTGCCAAATACAAGTTCATATAATAACTGTCACATACAAGTTAATATAATAACTGTCACATACAAATTCATATAATAACTCCAGCTCACAGGGCGCGAAATTAGCACCGGCCCACCGGCATATGCCGGCAAATAATTTGGAGGGCCGGTAACATTGGCAAAAGACCGGCCCTCCGAGCCGGTGGTTTCAGCCGTGTTAGCAAGTACCAATATTGTCATTTATAGCATTAATGAGCAAATAGCATACATTACTGTTTTACCTGAAGGATATCACGCTATAATTTATCAACATTTTACAAATTTGATCAAGAATGCAAGCGTGAAACATGAAATTTATTTTATAAACAAAATTTGTGAGGGCTGGCAATTATGGTAAGCTGGTAACAAATGGGCTGCCAGCAAAAAATCTGGACCGTAGACAGACACAAATCTGAATTTGCGTGCCCTGAGGCTCATAATGCAGTCCTGATATGCAGGGATGGGTGACCCGTCAAAACCTGGAGCTCCGTCAGAACCTGGACCGAGTCAAACCTGGACCGTCATAAACCTGGACGCGTCAAAATCTGGACTTCTGAATGTGTATTTATTTTTTTTGTCGTTTGTAGATGTGTCTCCGTGTTTTGCTATATTTATGCTAAATAAATAGATAATTAAATAGGCCATCAACTGACTATCCTATGATGAACAATGTACGTGCTTACTCATCGACTCTATAACTCGGGGGGGGGGGGCAATTGAATTTAGATATGTTTCACTGAAATTTTTGAGTAACGTTGGAAAAATTTTGGGGCCCAAATTCACTCGGCGAGAGAAGTACGGAGTCTATTGCAGTCGTCGACGTAGTTACGTAGTAGGTAGGTAGATACGCAAGTATATGAAAACGATGTACAGGGTTAGGGTTAGGGTTAGGGTTAGGGTTAGGGTTAGGGTTAGGGTTAGGGTTAGGGTTAGGGTTAGGGTTAGGGTCCTGTGACAACATGGACGGTCCAGGTTTTGACGGTCCAGATTTTGACGGTCCAGGTTCTGAACGGTCCAGGTTTTGACAGGGAAGCTCATATGGAACAGAATCAAGAATCATGATACATGTGTGATATTCTATAGGACCTACCAACTCAACTGGGTGCTGGTTATTTTCGGTTGTGCAAATACTACTTCATGGCTGTGTCTGGCTCCTGAAATATACATAACAACTTCTCTGCAAACACTGTAGATGGTGAAATATACGAAAGCTTTCATGCTTATAAATTGAATTTTGGCGTGAATTGTTTCTGGCGATGTGTTTTACCTATCCATTAGAATGAGCACTACAAATTTACAGTTAATCTGAGTGATGTTGGCAATGTGTTTACGCTATCATTATTTTATAGTATTGCGACGTGAATGCGCCAAGTGATATACGCTACACGAGCAGTGCCTGCAGTATTCACCTCGAGGTGGGAATAGAGTCTGAGAGGAGTGAAATCTACATAGCTGCTCGACTTTTCACTAGTGCCTTGCTGGCTGTTCTGCAGAGAGGAGTCGTTCTGCTCGTGGCTGCGAGTGTAGTCATTTATCTGCCTGTAATAGCAGGAGATACTCTGGATACACGTAGACATGCTTGTGTGCATGTACGTGTATGCATGTGCGTGCATGCTTATGCGCAGACCAAAGCACAAAGCTGTTGTTGACTGCCTGATAAATAACGTTGAACATTGATTTAGCTCAACAAAGCAAGAGGATCTCACACACCTGTGACTCAGTTCGCTTTGAGGGCTAATATCATATACATCCCCAGGACTCCGTTGTCAAAAACAACCAAATTATTTCATAGACACCTGGAGTCTACGACCTTCTCCCAATGACAGATGGATTCTACGAACATTTTCATCACGTGAGTTATGTCTGACAATCATACAGACATTTCATCACTTTTATCACTATATACAATTACTTTTCAGTCAGCCATCATCAGCACAGTTGCAGAGACGTACGCACCTTCAGCACAACTTCAGCGGACAGGACAACATCGACGCAAACACAGATCACCTGGGCCAGTTGACCCGGACATCGTGAAGGACATTTCATCGACACCTGGAGTCTACGATTCTACAAACATTTTCATCCCGTGTGAGTTAGTTATGTCTGACGATCATACAAAACTTTCACAACCATTGCCAAGCAATATTTTTTTTGAATTGGGAGTGAATTTATGCTACAGATGGTCTAGGATCCTAATCACCATATTATTTATCTTAAATATTATCTATCATTCCACCTATATTATGGTCTTGTGTGTATATTTGGCTTGTTCACAGTTATAGTTACTTTTCAGAGTTAGTTATGGCTATGAATTTATGCTACACATGGTCTAAAGTGCAAAGACTCCAGTGTGTGGTACAAGAATAATAACAGGAATATTTCTATCCTCATCTAGCATCATCTGACATCATCAGCACAGTTGGGAAGACATCGATCACAGATTACCTAGCTCGGACGAATCAACGGAACAACAGACGAAGGACACAGCAACCGAGTGGCGGACAAGCAGCGGACAAGCAAGCATCGAGGGATCAACATAATTGTGTTGTTTTGTGTGTTTTTTTCAGGTCCCTCACAATCTGGATCACCACGTTGCCGTCGTGTGGGGGCTTAATTGCGTACTCCTATGATTCTAAGTGCGAGGTCAGCA